CCAAGTGCCCCAGGCGGCCAGCATATACCAAGTGCCCCAGGCGGCCGGCTTGCACTCTATATGCTGGGGGCCCAGGGAGTTAATGCTCACTGTATGTGGAAAGGGCCCCAGGGGCCACGTGGTCAGCATGGGCTCTATATGCAGGGGCCCTCATGCTTAATTTACCCCATTAGCCCAGTCCATAACTCAGCCAAGGCTCCAGGGGGCGCTATCTTTAGTTCTGTCTGTATTTTATGTAAATAACATCAAATGTTGTTTATATAGAATAGACAAAACTTTTGTTGGAATTTCTTAAAGGTAAAACTTGGTGCATTCAACATATATATGATTTTTCTTCATAGCTTGTCTGTGCCTCTGTGCCATTTGACTGAGAGTCTGAGTGTTTTAAACAGTGTTTGTTTAAATGGACATTTATCTTTGATCTGTAGGAAAAGGAGAATTTGTCCCTGGGATCAACAAATCATCTTATTTTATACTCAGGGGATGAGAACCACTGCAGTGTCACATTTATTATGATCTGAATCAGCAAATATTTAGGTATCACCTTTGGCAAAGAAAGTATTAGTATTTTATGTCTGATGTTCCTGGTTCATTATTAAGTGTCACGATTCTATTAAACATGTTAAACTGAAGCCTTAGTGTGAGCATGATGTAATGAGTCCATGATAATGCATTTATATGTTATCAAAATAGAAGTGTTTGTCTCACAAGACGACAATCTATTGTCAAGTCAATCTTTAATGGATATGCAGCAGGGAACAGGGAAAACTGCTTTTTTCAAGCTCTGTGCTGAAATTCAAAATGCACTTTGCAATTAAATAACTTCCAATTCCAGCTCTCAGGAAGTCAGGTTTGACAATCATCCTCATTCATTTATCTCAGATGTTATTTATGCAGAATACAGACAAAACTGTTGTCTAAATTCTAAAAGGTGATGGAATCAGTTAAAGGTAAAAATTAATGCATTTATTATGTGTTTTTTCCTCATAGCCTGTATGTGTCTCTGTGCCATTTGACTGAGAGTCTGGGTGTTTTAAACAGTGTTTGTTTAAATGCACATTTACCTTTGATCTGTAGGAAAAGGTCCCTCTCTGAAGTTGACTGCCTTTCCCATTGACGCGTCACTCTTCAGGGAAGCACAGCTGGGTACAGGGGAGTCTTCTCTCTCCATCAGGACACTGTGGGCAGCGAGAGGA